TCTACAAAGGTGGGTACCAGTGTAGATGTAAGAGGAAGGAGTGAGCCGTGTAGTCTCATTCTTTGCCGAAGGAAAAAAAATGGTACAGGGTACCAGATAACTCTAGCGGCCAGATCAGGATCCACCATTTCTTTAAAAGTTAACTAGCAAAAGAGTTGACACTTAAAACGCCTTTCTCTGTACAAAAGTATAATAAGTTATAAGTAAGGCAAATAGTGCCTATACGATAGATGTGGTGACGATTGTGGTGATCGACCAGAAATAGATAACTACGAGGTATATATAGCTATTATTTGATAAGTGAATAAGGCCGTTATAGTACCGTAAAACCCGTTATGGGTGTCGCTAGTGCTTTTAGTTAATTTTAGTTCCCTGGCGGGGTAGGTCAGAACCGCTATCTCTGGCTCTCTAGGCAGCAGCCAAAATATACCCCACTAAAGTTATTATGTTAGAAACCCGCGACACCCATAACGGTTTTTACGGTAGTTCGTCTAGTTATTAAAGAAGGATTAAATAATTTTAATAGTCTATATTAAGAAGTCTAGTCTCTCTATTTCCTTTAGGAGTAGTTAGTAGTTAATATTATTAAAGGCCCTAACTATATTTAATTAAAGGAGTAATATAGACTTATAGTAGGCCTATATTATCTTTACTAATTCTACTACTATAGTGAGGTGTGATGTAGACCGGTACGTCGGGGGTACTGGGTAGGAAGGCAGCGCTGATCTACCCGTAGGGCGCAGTGACTGTGGATCCGGTGGCTCGAACCCCAGACGCGTTGCCCTCGTCCGAGTCGCGCAACGCGGAGTTGGAGAGGGCTAGGTCGCTATTCGATTGTGCCGGGTTAAACCGTCGTGAGGTTGGGGTGAAGTCGAGGCGTTGTTGAGGCATCGAGACGGTGTTGTGGAACGTGGAGTGCACGTAGCGGCAAAGGCGCAACCATTTTTCAAGCAAGAGCAACAGTGTAAGGCGTGACAGTGGATGGGCATGGTGTGATGGTCTTCCGTAAAATGGCCATTCTGATTAGAGCCGCTTACACAGCCTTCATTTATTAAGGGTGCGAGACATTCATCAAACACGTGTCGACCGCTACCCTCCATCATGCTTTTACTCTTGAAAGTTTTGGCCAAGTCACAGGGATCGGACGGTCCGACCGAAACCAGCAATGCGATGGCTCGGCATCTGGTTTGACGCGCGCCTCAACTTCGGTGTTCACGTTTCAAAGTGGGCAGCGAAAGCTAAAAGCGTCATATACCACCTGCGAGGCATGAGCAACACTGTCCGCGGCATCTCAGCTGCTGCGGCACGTAGGGCGGCATGGGCAGTGGTCATGCCAACACTCTTCTACGGAGTCGATGTCTGGTATGCGGGAGCGGGAAGAGTGCCAAAAGGACATCTTGCAACCGTACAGAAGACACTGACAGCGGCCTGTCGGATGGTCCTACCCTCATGGAAAACGACACCGAAGACCACACTGTGGAAAGAAGCCGGCATCCCGCCAGCAGAACTGCTGCTAGAGCAGATTGCAGCACGCAATGCGAACCGCTGGGCGCGCTTGGACACCCACCACCCGCTTGTCCGCCGCCTTCTGCAGCAAGAACACGAAATCAAGTACGCCCCTCATCCGGCCACGGCACGGCGAACAGCTACGAAACGTGTCAGGCTCTTCCGCAATGCTGCTCTGGCACAAGCAATGGAGCGTCCACGGCTGATTCCCCAACGCTTCTCTGATACCATCTGGACGGAAAGCAGAGGGAGGCGCCCGACAAAAGAACGCCAGATTGAGCAAATACAAACATGGAGCAAGACCCAGACGGGACTAGTAGTCTATAGCGACGGCTCTAAAACCAAAAGAGACACGGCGGGATGGGGATATGCTGTCTATCGGCAGCAGCGGCTCGTAGCACAAGGTCATGGACAGATAGGTAAGGGTGAAGTGTTCGACGCCGAGATCAGAGGCGCCCTGGAGGGCCTCCGTGCTGCAATCGCGCAACGACGCCGAAAGGAAAAGATCACCGTCTGCATCGACAACACCTTGGTCATTGACTGCATAGGCACGACAGCACCACCGTCATCACAAATGGCGTTCCGTACATTTCAGAAGACCGGTGATGCAAACCCAGGCATGATCCGTGTGCGTTGGTGCCCAGGTCACGCCGGAATCGAAGGTAACAGTTGTAAATGTGATTCTTCAAGTGTACCTACTTCTTCTCTATCTAGAGAGATCAGATAGACCTCTTTATAGGTACAAGCAAGCTGCCTGCAGCTTGCTTTTGTTGCGTTGCAACACTACTGATACATTGTGATGTTTGATCCCTTGATATTTGCTTTTGGTAGCTTCAGCCTCTGTATCAGAGCTGCTTGACGTCACCTGCCGTTCAGAAACAACTGCAATGAACTGGCCGACCAACTCGCGAAGCATGGAGCCACACTTTCCGTCGACGAGCATCTGCCATCTGTCTCGTATAGAAAAAGACAGATGAAGAAGCAGGTAGCAGTAGACCACCGAGCCTGGTGGGCATCGGTTGAGAGAACGGAGTACCTCAAGCTTGGACTCAGTGCCGAGCTTAAGAAGCTCCCGGAACTCAGTCTCCCCCGCCGCTTGCTCGGCTATCTTCTGACAACACGATCACAACACGGCGACTTTGCGGAATACCATGAGAGATTCCACCCAGGAAAGGCGACGCTGGAGTGCCCTTGCGGACGCCAGAAATCGCCTACCCATCTTTTCTACTGCAGAAAGATCCCTGGCCATCTCCGGGTTCGGCTGTCACCCGACCCAGAGACGGCAATAGGGAAATTTCTCGGTAGATCCTACAAGGTGTACGCGCGCATTGCTGACTTCTACTATTCGAAGATCAACAAGCGCACATAGCACCACGTAGGGTACAAGCCTGGCGCGCTCTGTACAGTATCCAGCCCGAGTAGTTTGCGCTACTCGTTAAACATATGTACTTTTCCTTTGTTCTGGGCGATACACGCCACCGACATCAAGTCTCCCGCTGGTCCCCGTACAAAGACCAGGCGACAAAAGTTATTGGCGCAACGCGCTCGTGGCTGCAACCGCGAGCGCATCACGCCAGCATCATCGTGAACCCGCGGACGGGTATCGATTCAGACAGATACATGCCATTGGGCGCGACACTGCTACAGTTGGAGGATGATGGCAGGGAGAGTATTCCAGGGGCAACTAGTGAGAACATGGGCGCGCGCCGCCCTGTGGGGGCCTACTAGGCGGATACGCCTGCACGTTTATCCGTAGAAGGCTCGATAGCACGTCTAAAAGCCTACTCTAGGGCGCCAACAGACGTAAATAATCAAATCAAATCAAATCAAATCAAATTCATATTTTTCAAGAGTGCTGTAGAGTCATAGCTTATTGAGGAAAGATTACAGATTGATGTAGACGGTAATTTGACCGCACCTCTCTGTTTGTAAATAGCGCCGCCTTCATGTCGTTCAAGTTTGTGAAAAATGGACTTCACACGGCATGCAGCTGGGACGGTGTGTCACTCCCCAAAAAGAAAAGAAAAACAAATACGTGCTAAAATTAGCAACGAATCGATCGATTCGATCGATGTCCCATCGAATGGTGCCTACATATTCGATTCGCTTCGAATCGAACAGGTCTACGGGAGATTCGAATCGAATCGAATGGGCCAGCAGCAGATTCGATGCGAATCGAATAGACCCACTATAGATTCGATATCGAATCGAATGCCCAGTCATTCGATTCGCATTCGATAGATGTCCAACCCTGGACTGGATGCGGGCATGGGGAAAGACCAGGGTCGGACAGTGAGCTGTCAACCTGCGATACGCTGTCAGAAGGCAAGAGGGAAGAAGTGCAAGACCAGGCTGTGAATGGAGACATATCGTCGCCCATCTTTACTGCACTGCTGCCAGTTGCTGGCAGGAGGTGGCAGGGACGGATGCCTCTGCTGGGCGGCAAGCCCCTAAACAAAAATTGCGGGGCCTCTTACCTTGAGAATTATTAAGAATATATTCTTGAGACTCGGGCTATACAGTATTCTTATCCTTATCCATAAGCTTAACAATAATTATGCATTAACCCTTAAAAATATATATATTACTGGGATGTCTGCGTGACAGTGCAATGCTTAATGGTCCACACAATTCGGAGCGCCGTGGCAGGAAGACAACTAGTGAGAACAGGGGGGGCAGGCGCCTGGTTAGGGCCCACTTAGCGACTGTACATTAATCCGTAAAAGGCTTGATAGCACGTCTAAAAAGCCTACACTGAGGCGCCAACGGACGAAATAGTCAAATCAAATCAAATCAAATCAAATAACTAGACAATAGTAGATACAATATGGCTGAAAGCCCGGCAACTGGTACGGTTCGTCACTTCAATAACTGACCGAACGAGAAGGGAGTAAGCGCACCCAAACCGCACCCGAACCGCACTTGATATTACCATAGCAAGGGCAACGGTTCGGTAGCGATAACATGATGACAATGAATTAGACCCAGCATAGACAAGAAGAGCGCAAAGACCAATCAAGAACCGTAAATATTCAAGGGCATTTAGGCCGTACTTTTTCCCCCTTTAAGATTGTTGCAACTTTTGCCAATCAGCAGAGGCCCAGCGTTGACAACTAGTCCTGGTCACTGAGGGTTAGGGTTAGGGTGGGTTGCCCGGACAACGCATTGGCCCCGCATTGCCAACTCGCCTCGGACAGGACGTCACTTGCGGTCTTGCGACTAAGCATCATCAAATTTACAACGTGCAATCTCCCGCAACAACCAGTTCGCCGCGACAGCCGTAGCGCAATCGCAACGGACATGCAACTCGACGAAATTCAAGGTTGGTTGGGTGCAACCGAATCAAACAACGCAGACGACGACGGCAAGGAAAACAATGAGCAACTCGCACGACTCGCACGACTGGATCATCTCAAACAACTGGCGCCAATGCCCGCAACAGCAAACGACGACAACGACAACAGCGACCGCCCCGTGAAGCGACGACGACTCGACACCCCAATCACGCCGCCCTCGTCTTGCCCTAACGACGCCAGCAACATGGCCTCGCCATCGAAGCGGCCGCTCGACGACGCAACGCCTCGCGCCAAGCGCGTCCAGACGGCTGCCTTCATGCCCGAGCACAGCTACCCCTCGCTCTCGAGCGCCTCGGACCAGTCCCCGTCGTCATCGCGTCGAAACCCGTCGCCCCAGAAACACCTGCGCACGCTGGCACTCCATCCACGCGGTCTTGACGTGCGTGACATGTACGACGTCAAGGACACCATGGCCCGGCCGCCGATGCTACGGAAGCTGCTCGTCGACATTGAGGCCTTTTCCGACGGCCAGGGCATCGTGGCCAAGGACGCGCAGGACGCGCTTAGAAAAGCGGCCGACGCGGATGATCGGTTTGCTTGGGCCTTGCGAGCCGGCGCTCCGCATGTCTCGGACGACGAGGAGCTGCTTGGCAGATGTCCGCCGCCGAGTACGGTGCGCAAGGTCATGAAGGCAGCCTTTCAATGCAATGCGAGGCGGCACCCAGAAGCCACCTGGAATCTCGAAGTGCATCAACGCATCCTCGACATGGCGTTGCGCCCAACGGAAGAGACAGACTTTGAGAATCTCGTCGACTTTATGGGCTGGTAAGCTCGCCCCCCTTGTGTCGCCGTCGCAGTTCCATCTCTGACTTGATAACTAACAAGACTTAGCACCACGGCTTCCATCATGCGCGAGTACGGCACCCCGACGCTGGCAAAAAAGGTAGATTTTTGCGTATACATTGACCCCGAAAATGACCCCTCCCTATCCCCAGAGTTCCTCACGGCTGCTTCTTTTGTCCGAAGCAATATGCCCGAGGAAGTTCTCGGCTTCGCCGACTTTGCCCCGCTGGATGGCCGCTTCATCGCGCTGAGCATCGAGACTAAGAAGCCAAGCGAGAACTTTGAGGCGGCGGAGCTGCAGCTGGGCGTCTGGGACATGGCGCGGTGGGCTTTTCTGCGGCGGCTGGCGGAGCTACGGTCCGGGCCGCCGGATCAAGCCGGCGGCGCAGATGTCAACATAGGCAGGCAAGACGTGAAGCTACCGGAATTCTTGCCGGGCATCATCGTGCAGGGTCATGATTGGTACCTTGTCATGACGACCATGGAGGGGGGCAAGACGGTGCTCTGGCAAAAGGTTAGCATTGGCATGACGTCGACGCCCAGGGGCGTGTACCAAATTGTCCGCGCGTTGCAGTACCTGGAGAAATGGGCGAGAGATGTGCACTGGCCATGGTTGCGCGACATGATTCAAGGCATAGCAGTTGTCTATGCATGAAATACATTATGGCACGCGAATGGGCAGGCCAACTGAACTTTTTTACGGTGTACATGACATATTTTCTGTATTTAGCGTCACTTGTTCTAAGATGCCCAAGCCGACTCTTGTGTTCCAACAACGAATATACACCTATAGACCAACACTGCCTCGGGAGTGCTCAAAGAGTGAGTCATCACTCGAGGGCCTATGGTCCGGCGCGCACTACACGGTCATTGGGAGCGCCACTTAGGCTACCATAAGAGGAGCTGGCACCAGCCAGACTGGTATTAATAGCGCGAGAAAACATCGAAGGCTTTTCAAGCATCTATAGACGAATACAACTATTGCTTACCGTACAGTACCATGCAAAGAAGATACCCGACAGAAGCATCTCTGCCAGAGCCTTACCCTCGTTGACTTAGCCCCGCAATGCCGAGCTATTTTTCGAGCAGGCAGGGGCGAACATCTGCACTATTGCAGACGGGAAATCACGACTAGCTGTTTCTGTGTGACACGGGCCTCGATAGTTTCTTGCGGCTTACATTGAATACGGCAGGGGTTTGTAAGATAATGCATAGTGTGATAGTTATGAGTGTCGCTGCGAATGGCAGCACACATCGACCTGGGATCTGATCGCAACGAACGCAGCTCTGATTGCTAAGCCCGAGGCCGGCGCTTGAACAACATCGAACTCCTGCACGAAGAGACAAACTTGATGCTTCTAGAGCAGGGGCATACCGTAAGGAATCTGCTTCTCATTCGTGCAGATCGGGAATGGGTATTTTCAACCGTGACTTCACGCCGGGCACGGCCCAGAGGTGCTGGGAAATACACACATGAAGGCTGTAGGGCGGCGACACCAACCACACACCTAGGTGCGGGGACGGGCAGCCAGCGGCAAGTGGCTGCTCCGGCGGGCGCTCGATGCGCGAGGTTGACGCGCTAGTTTTCTGGTCGTAAGTTCAGGCAGATTTATGGGGAGGCTACAAGGACCTGCGCAACGCGCTGTGGCGCTTATTATCTTCTTTCGACATGCCAAATTTTGACCGTCACAGCCAGAAAGTCAATCATAAACAAGCATTTCGGCATCCAATATGGCGTCGCTAATACGGATCTTGAACTCCTCGCCGACGGAACAAGCACATCAGAGCGAGGCAGCGTCGCCGAACAATCCAGAACAGCCCGAGGAACCAGCGAGACCAAATGGAGGGGCACCGCTGACTGCACCAATGTCACCAGGCGGACCAACGTTGATGGGCAACTCCAACTCTCTTCCTGATCGAAGTGGACATGGAGTGTCAACAAGTGAACCTCAATCAAACACAACCGATGCGAAACAACTGGTTCATTACAACGGTCAAAATTGGGAGTACGAAAGTTTCGAGTGGCTTCAGCCAGGCATTCTGTCATTGAATCTCAAGCCTGTCGGATCAAACGGCGCAAATGAGCTTGTCCGCGAGGCCTACATACAATCCGACAATCCTGACCAACTTCTAAGGCTTTGGAACGCCATCCCCCGACCTGTCTATACGCCCGACCCTACACTTTACGAGATCTTTGCGGTTCTCCGGCATAAGGAGTTCAAGAATGATGAAGGTGAGAAAGCCATCTTGCTACAGGTACAATGGACGGGTTTCAGCAAAAAGGACACGAGTTGGGAGGCAGAAGCATATGTCAAGCGAGTCGCCTCGGATGTGTTGAATGAGTACTGGTCCAAGCGTGCAAAAGGCTCAGCTAAGATAACCAAGCGCGCAAAAGGCTCAGCCAAGATATCCAAGTGGGCTCGTCTACAGCGTCAAGCGACGCAGCAGCGGTAGCGGACTTCTAATAACGCGGCCAACTCGACCGTGAAGCATCGCTGTTGCCAACCCGCTCACCTTCCCACACTCGTAACGTTGAGGGAACGGTTATACGCCAAGTGGGAAGCAACTGCTATTTGCAGACGCGCGAACCGACAACTGTCCATTGCCATCTTCGCTTTTCGCCCCGTCCCTGGTTATGCTCGTGCATGCACGATCACAACTCACCTTTCCATCGAGAGCTTAGTTATCACTGAGCTGTCCCGGCACTCGCACACCACGGGCAAAGCGTGCTGCAATTGATGATCACCCCCTGGCAATGCGGGGATGCTAACGGCCGGTGCGGCTATATCATTCCGCAAAGTTCAAAGCGATCAAATATACGTGGCTCTCTTTTTCGGCCAGCACGCTTGCAGTGACTTCCGTGACCACCATCCCCGTCCCATGGACTTATCTTGAGCGCCGGTTTCGGGTCCACATGATGCGCATGTGTACATCTCAAATCTAGTCCTGGAATGATAGGTCAGACAGACTTCGCTCAGAAAGGGCCTCATCCTGAATGATACCAATTATACTATCTCATGTTTTGCTCACTAGTGTTTAATGTCGTGAAAACTCAATCACCGAAGCTTTGGTACCGGAAGGGGGCTCAGCGTAGCAAATATTGCGACGGCAAGAATACTATAATTTCCAATGCTAAGCTGCAGCAGCCGTGACGGGCTGGACATTTGGTGGACTTCGCTCCGTGAGCAAACGATCCAGTTGCTCTATAACTCGGTCCCCATTCCTCAACGATATACTTCGATAGTCTACAACAAACCGCTCATCGGGTTTGAACGTGTCCACAAATTGTCTGGGAACCCAGCTTTGGTACATGAAGATATTGCCCCGACCAAGGCCTATAACCCTCGCCCACGCGCCCAGTTGCTTCTGGTCGGCCGGTTGCTTCTGATCGGCCGGTTGTTTCCGGTCGGCGCTCCTCAATATCTTTTGCGCCATCGCTACCATAATCAAAGCTATCTGCGCGTCCTCTTCAGCTTTGTTGGGCTTGATGCGAAGATGCTCCTCAGCTCTGCGTTCGCTGAATTCCTTCTTCTCTCTTTTGGCTTCTGGTAGCAAGGCCATGGGGTGTTTTGCCCTCCTTTCTGCCATCTTCGTGAAGTCGGTAAATGCTATCTCTGACCGTGTGGATGGGACGTGGAAGAGGCCATCTGCCTCTACCACCATAGAACTTCGATATCGTAAGTGAAGCTTGGGCTTTCGTGGACGCAATCCGTACGATGAAAGCAGCGCTACCATTCCTTTTGACGTGGCGTCTCCATAGTACGTCAGCTCTTTCACAATACTTCGTCGCGTGGCATGACACGAAGATTTTGCCTCAGTTGCCGACACCTCGGTGCGCCTCTTCCTGAAGTGTATGCGAAAGATGTCCTTGTCAGTTTCGCTGCAGTACAGAGATTTGCTATATGATGGCCCCAAAGGAGCTCACCCGACTCGTCGGCCTGATAGTGCCTCCTCGGTGCAGAAGTTGTCTCCGTTTCGCTGGTGTGTTGTCCTCGGGATTGAGCTTTCGCTTCGACCCAACCTCTTCGTGGACTCGCGATGGCAAGCTTGGAACTTCCATGATGTCTCCTTCGCCGGATTCCTTCCGAGATCTTGTCCCGTAAACACAAGCGTACTAGGTAGAAGCTCGTGATGACGTGCGTCGATGTCGATGGCAGGGGTGGGGACGTTCTCGTCCGCCAAGTTGTTAGAGGCGGGTCGGCCGTATCCCACGTGACAACGCGTCTTGATCGCGGCAGCAAAGAGACTTGCCCCGCATCGTTTATGTTGCAGCTCGACAAGTCCATGTTTCCATGGCTGTGGGGATAAGAAACAATACTTCCGTTCTGTGATACGACTCACGCCGCCTCCGTATTCGTATTCGACCTATTTTTGTCCCCCCATACCCAAGTCATGGCCGTGCCCCCTCGATCCCAAGTTTCCTGAAAAGTTTCCTGAAACTATTGCGCAACTCGCAGCCCAGTCCTGTCCTTACGTTCTGTCGCACCTCGGTGACAGATTGGGAGCGCCGGCCAGCAAATGGGGCTAAGACGAAATGCAAGCCTTCAGGGCCATCAAGAACACCAAAGCTTGGCAGACACGCTTTCTATCATCCCTAAACGCCGACCATGAACAGTCGTGTCCAATCCGCCAACCCTCGAGTTCGTCTTCTCAGCAAATTAATCTCGAAGTGGTTGGACGTCTTCGCGAACGCTTTTCCGGGCTTCGTACCGCCTCTGAATCTTCGTTGTACAGCTCCCCCGACGGTCGTTTCCGCCTCGCCCTGGCCAGATTAATTCGGTCCGATGTTCGGGATGAGAGGAAGTATTCCACTCGCGAAGGTGCTGGTAACAGGCAAGCCGCTCATTACCCCGATTTTGTCCCCTCATCGACGATTCCGATTCCAGAATCTTCGTCTCCTGCGCGGCCATCTTCGTCCGAATGTAACGGTAGTCGCGCTAGCGTCCCTCTGGACGACGACCAGAACGAGTCCCGCGCCCGCAAACCAGAGTTACTTGCGGCCGAGCTGGCCAAGGAACTCTTCTGCCTGTCTCTGTGCTCGGCCCTAGAACAGTCTCGTCCCCAGGAAGAGTATTGCTTTCGCCCAGAGAGCCATGTATCAAGGGTAGTAATTGCTGGCAAAACCATTGTTGGGCGCGGATGATGGCGGCCCCTGCAGAAAGCGCCTCCAGTTCTCCTGGACAATCATTCACCCGTGTCTCATGATGGGTGAATGTAGGCCGGCATCCCAGAATCTGTTTTATGACGACCGTGCCGAGAGATATTTTCCTGTTTTAACAATCAAGGCTCTGGTTCAAGTCGTCGGAGAGGCTGTCACGACTTGGAAGCAGTATAGCCCTACAGCACTCTTCGTGATGGGTTCGATCTTTCCTCCACTTGAGCCCACTCTCAGCTAACCAGCTCGCTTGTTATAGCGTATTTTCCTATATCTGCAATGACTCGTTTATGCGTTTCTTCCATTTTGACTTCGGCTCTCATTACGCTGAATACTTGAACGCGCCCACGGAGAATGCGCAGTTGGACCTTGTCCGAAGACCATCCAGAAGACACATGCATTCGCGTTGGCTAGTTCGAAGTGGCTGGAGCTCGAGGAGCCTGGCGGCGTTATTCTCTCCATTTGCCATATGCTGACTCGATTGCGACTGGAAGAACGTCATGAGGTCGGATCTCAACAAGCCACGCCAGATGAACTGATGGAAACCTTTTCCGAGTCAGATTATTCTGTCGAGATGTGAACGGCTTCCAAACGAGACTCGTCGCGTCTAGAGACGGGGAGGAACGACTAACAGGTCGGCTCATCTTCTCATGTACGTGCTGGCTGCCCCTATTACTAGATTTGGTCGCTGCTATTCTGCAAAGTGCTACGGTGATCGCATGCTGCTTCTCTTCGTTCGCATCTCGCACGTGAGCGTGGATTGTGGCCATGGTAACACTTTGAAGTCCGTACTCGAGAGGTCGTAAATGCTGCTCAGTGTACGGTGTTCAACTTCATGGGCCGCCAGGGTATCCGAAGGACGTCTGCCTCATTAACGGTGCCTTCTCTACGTCTCGCAGCATGAAGAAACACGGGCCGAGTTTCGCCAGAAGGTATCGTTGAAACATGATGTCTCTTCGCGTGGCGCCATTCTTGCTTGTTCAAACACGAACGTCCCCAGACACGCTCCGAATCCAGCCACAGGCTTGACGACTTAGGTGCTGGGTACCTGCCGCGACGCGTACCCCGGCTTACCAGGGTGCCGAGACGTGTATCTCCCGGCAGCACAGCTCTGCTGTCCAGTGCCTCGACGCGATTGCTGGCTGACGTGCACGCGGGTACAATGACGGCGCATCCTTGCCTCGGCGAGTGCAAGCATCGAGCAAGTCAGTCTGTCGAGATCCTCTGTGCTGCACGGGCGCGGGTGGCCACTGACTGCTTCGCATGAAGGAGCGCGCCCCCCTCCCCCCCGGAGATTTAGGCTGCAGCCCAGCTCACGCACGAAACGACTGGCCTCGAAGCGACCTCGGCGATCTTACCATTCATCGCTCTACTACGAGATGTCTTGATGCTCAAAACACAAGGATTATCAGCTATGAGCTGACGGTTCTTCTCATGGCCCCTTGGCGTCCTCGACAGTAATGGGAAGTGACTCGGGTAGGCTCCTTTAGGTGCGACGTTAGTACGATATTTCAGCCGACTCGCACAATTAGTCTTTGGTGGCGGGTACTGGCCCCGTTGAGGAGTGCCCTGAACCTGCGTGCGGCCGCGAGATTCCATGTGCACGCGTACAAAGAGTAGACACCTTTTTTGTACTGAAGGAAAGACCCAATTCATATTAAAAATACAGTTCACTACCGGCCGATTGTCTTCCTTTTTTTCGAGGCTGCATTCATGAGTGGCTGACGGTTGTCCAGACAACCAGCACTGGGGCACACCAGTTCATCACAGCCACTTAGGGTTGGGCCTCAACACGCTGCCTGCAACACATGCAACACACGGCGGCACGACATGTCATGACCACCGCGAGACTTCATCACGAGAAATGGAGCCTTGCAAACCATTCTCTGGTGCGCGAGCCGGCCTACCGCCACCGAGACACCCCGACCAAGGCCTCGCGCGGTGCGGCACCACGACCCGCAACGAGGAGCGCGCCGTGACGCTGCGTCATCCGCGTTATCCCGACGACTCCAACATCTTGCTCGTGCTGCCGGCGCTTGATCCAATTCCCGGCTCGGGTGGGTTTTTAGCCGAGGGCAATTCTCTCGGGCTTGGTCTGCACCACGACACGGCGCGCGTTGCGTGCGCCATCGTCGCCAACTGTCGCTGGGATGGATAACTTTCCGAGAGCAAGGTGGACGGCGCGCCACCGTTCACGACCGACCCAGACCATCTTTTGCCGGGCCGCAACTACTACTTTCACGTGCCGAGCGACACTGGTGACGGTGAGCAGGGCACGCCGTACCCAATCGTGCCATCCTTTGCACACTTCCGGTTTCCGCACAACAAGTTGCCGCCTACGTGGACGGCTACGTGGACGGTGTCTGGGTTGTCCTTTCCCCCGAGCGACAACGACCCGCCGCGTAAGTTTTCATTTGAGGATACGGTCCTCACGCGCGATGGCTCTTGCCGCCTGACGGCTTCCACGATTGGCGCCGAGATTGCCCACTTCATCCCCCGCACTGAGGACGCCTGGTTCGTCGCGAATCAAATGTTCCAGTATTCGTCACGGCCGGAGGCTGTCATCACCAACAAGACCAACAACCCGCGCAATGCCATACTGATGGGCTCCCAGCTGCACTCCGTCTACGACCAGCGCCAGTTCGTCGTGGTCCCGAAATGGGGCGCCTGGCTGATCCACGTCCTCTCCGGCCGGCATGAGGAGGAGCTGGCCTCCGTTTACCACAATGTCCCGCCGAAGCTATTGTCGGGCCTGGCCGTCGAGTACGTCTTTGCACGATTCGCATGGACGGTGCTCGCGCAGACGAGCTTCCTTGAGGCGGGTGTGCCCCGACATGTCGTGGTGCGTGGCAAGGACGGGCTGCCAACGGCGCGAGGTGTTGGGACAAGACTGCCGCACCATGTTCACGCCGAGTCTGCCCAGGTCCAAGAGCCGTAGTCAGAGCCCGAAGTAACGCGTGCGGGATGACACGGCTGAGGATGAAGAGGAGGATTACGGTCGCGTGAGCGACGACGATCCCGAGCGGGATACGCGGGGACGGCCCAGGAAGAGGGCAGCCTACGAACCGGCCACGAAATCGGCGGCGTCTAATGTTAACTGCTGGAGTGGATATTGGAGCGTAGTGTGCTAAGCAAAGAAATGAAGCCAGGATAACAGCTAGCATTGCATTCCATTGTATGTTAATTACGCCCGGTGATTGAGAGAGGTGAGCCTCGAGGAAGTGGAGAGCCTTCGTGGGCAGGAAGGTGGTCCGTGGAAGTTGGAGCGGCCCGAGTGGGACGGCGTTGGTGGCGGCCTCGATGGCGGGACACCGACACCACTTCACAGATAAAATACTATGAAACGTAGGCCCGTGTAACGTTTAAGATCGTGTAATGTTCAATATAGGCAGCTATGGCTACGTTCATTACTGCTTACTGCGCCGGGTGGCTTCCAGCCTAGCCCGAAGATTGAGTATATTCTGCCACCCTAGACCCGTCCTAAGGTCGAAACTGCATACTCGATAAGCCAAAGTGGAATATCTCGGACGCCAGTCACTGCGACACCCAACGATGAAGAGGTTGCCTTGTCGACGAGAGTCTTCGCAGGACCTGTAACGCTACTATTGCCCGACCGTTACTGGGATATTAAAGAATGGCGCGACTATGAAGATGGAGAATCGGACCTGAGTGCAGTCGAACACTTCGAGATACGCGTTGACGGGGGTCTCTTCGTGACATATTGCTAACAATTCGGCAACAAAATGAGTGAAAGTGCGAAGTATAGACACGAGAACAACCTTTGTTTTGAAGGACTGAAGGGGCACGATGACCACGCTTGAAGGTCAATGTTGCTTAAAGAAGCGATTTGCTAGAGAGCCGGCAACTTTTGGCAGAGTCACCGCGGTAGATGAAACTGTCAGTGCACTTCGTGAATGCCATGTAAAGAATGTACAGGTGTTACAAGTGTGCGTTTCTCAAACACAGATCCAACAAGAGGTAACGGGAGGCATGTGTACGTCGACACAAAGAGTCTACTGGTAGGCCTCCCCCAACTGCCGCTGATGGCTGAAGTCGTGATGCCCGCCTGCCCTTCTCCTCTCGACACCACAATCATGACACACCTGGCAAGGCACCGCCTTGGCCGTTTACAATGCTCCGTCTATAATGTGTAAGCTGGTGTGGCAAATCTCGAATCTCCGATGAGTATCTTCGGTTTGCTGAATATGGGACATATTCCCTCAATGCTCCCCTCTATAGCCATGCAACATGGAACAAGTCGACCGGACACAATATTTCCTGAAACATGAATATGCGTGTCTGGCTAGATTTGGCGAAAGATAGCGCCTTGTTTGCTCGGAAGTTGGACTCTGAAGCGGGCCAGACACCATAAGGTATTTGCGAATTGTGAGACGTGAGCAGATAGGGTATTGTCATCAAGCGGTCAATTGCGGGTGGGAGCATCCGCGCGGTGGTTGCGCCTCACACGAGCTGGTCCACAGACAGGAATCCTAAGCGGATGAGGGAAAAGAGGCAAGCAATGGCCCCCTTGTGCCACTCGGTGAGGATGAGAACTGCATCGGTGTCTTCAAACTGCGGCCCTCTGTCCCAACTTCGCGTGACAGTCCCGCTGCATTGGCTTCGATAGGCTGTCGGAAAATGTTATCCGGCCTGTTACTAACACGACCTATTGCAGCGTCGAGTACATGCACTTTTGCCTGGTGGAACCCACTACCAGCAAAGTAGTTCAATACTCCAGCTGATCCATGATCTTGGAAGAATGCCGCGTTTGTGCCCCGCCCCACCATTTATGATAATTTATTATGATCAGACTGCAAATGATGGTGGCGTTGATGGCGCGAACTGAGATACAAGCAGCAGCAGCTTTTTACACCGACCATTTGTCGTGTCGAAACATACGTAACCTCAGGGAGCATTGCGTGTTATGCTGATGTTTTTCGACTTGGCAATCCTCTTTCGCGCTCTCACCCGCTCCCTTCATGGTATATCTTGGTTCACAGTCGTCGCCATCAAGTACTCGGAGAAAAAGGGAAAAGGCGTGTCTGGGGAATTTGGCTACCTGCACCTCTTTAGCCGCTTACTGAATGGCTTTTCCCAGGAAACGTGTAGTTGGCGCAATTTGCTTACAAGGGTCCGGTCTATGGACCTTCGTGATCCAGTCCCGCCTCCTAGCTTGGCAACGCAAGGTAGCCCACACTCCAGCAGCGGCGGTGCGCGCGGACAGAGCAGTGGCGAATCGGGCTAGAGAGATCCTCCGGCCCAGACAGACACTTGAAACATTGTCCACTTTCCCCCCCGGCCCCCGACGGAGCTTGACTTTGTGTGGACCACTATGGGTCCCAATCTCGATAAACTCGCCTCTCTTCAGATGTGATTGCTTCCGAAGAGTACAAGAACGTTGAATGTGCCGAGGAGATATCCTTTTTATTGCGCATTTGCAACAGGGTAAAGCTTTTCAGAAACGTGGCTTGCAATCAAGCACTGGCAGCTGCCCAATTTATTCTATCCCTCCCCCTCCTCTCGTTCTGCCCTCTTCCCTCTCTCTCAGGAGGTGCCTATGGCGAAGAAGCCATGATCGAATGTTCAGGCCCTGGTCGCCTTTTGTATATCCTCGTTCATTACCACTCTTTTTTCTCACTCTTTGATAAGCTGGGAGTGGCCACGAGCCTACTCCGGCCAATCCTGCCTCGCCGGCTTTTCCGCCTCTCATATACACTCGAGGTCTTCCAAATTCGACAGGCGCTAGTTCGCACATCTTCATATCTGTTACTTGCCCCTTGCCTCGCCACTTTACACGGCAAACCTGGGTCATGTAGCATGCCTACAAAGCACGCCGAGCCAGCTCCAACTCTTCAGGGATCTTTTGCTACGCCGACGGTGCACCCTATGCCTCAAACAGCGGGGCTCAAGAAGCGTAAGAAGCTGGGGTATCACAGAACATCGATAGCATGCAGTAAGGTTGACATTTTATTTCATGGACGCTGCTCATGGCTTGTCGAGTGGTCGCGTGGCGTTCCAGACCCACTGGAATTTTGCTGGAGTCACAACTAACTAGAGTCTGCCCTACAACAGATCATTGCAGGCACCGGAAAATTCGATGTATCGTATCTCCGCAGATACAGAATCTATGTTTGAACTGTATACGACTCAAGAAGGACTGCAGCTTCTGCCTTGACCAACGATCGGCGGCGGACTCGCAAGGCAATACTACTGGCCAAGGAACTAGCAGCTCAACAGCGCATTCGCAGTCCTCACCAGCGCTTGGGAACCACACTGACATGGCGGCAAGATCTCTACACGGGATGGGGCAGGTACAAGACTCGGTTGCGCTTACTCCCTCTGCCACTATATCATCCAAACTAGGCTACGCTAGCGTTACAGGTGAATTTCTATTCGACGCGAGGGATCTTGAAGCATGTGGATGAACTACACTGACCCATCTTCTAACAACAGGGATGAACATGCCAACCACGACCGGACAGAACTGTAATGTCTCTCCTGGATCGAGTCTCGCCTGGGGCTTTGCTGAGTCAAACCCAGTAAGTCTGCTTGGATCCGTGGACATGGCCTATGGTTGGCACCCAATTGGCAGCGAATCCGGCTCTACAGTACCAATATTACCCTCCACACCTGAACTGGCTACTCAGTCGGCTTGGATGGCAACAACGCCCGAAACGGCGCAGCTTAACAGCTGGAATTGTGACAGCGGGTTAGCTCGGGCAACACAAGCGAGGTCTGTATCCTTTGACGATGACCCCATCGGTCAGCTACGACAGCAATTCGTGTCTGCTCCGAGCAATGAACTGCATGATGGGCGGGCAGCGAACACGGAAAACACGTTTACGTCCCCGATGAATCTGGCCACGGTACGAGGGCATCCGCCTAGCCAAACACGCGGGCTGAGCGGCAGTTGGGACTCACAACGGCAGGAAATGCTCCATGTTATGCTAGAATCATGCGGCAGGGATCCAGGATGCGCTGGACATTCGTCTGTACAGCCTCAAAACGCATGTAGCCACAGCGCTCACTCTCTAAATGATGTATAATGGCTGCAAGAGTCATGCATTCTCTTCTGCAGCGGTTGTTAGGACAGTGATAAAGCTTCTGTTGGTGAATAGGGGAGCCAAGATGCTGATTCAATGACGTATGTTTACTGAAGGGGGGTGCGCACAGGTAGCATTGGTATGCATTGGCGATGGGGTTCCACGCCTTCTCGGTAGCCTCGTAGCTAGTGCTGCCCGACCAAGGGGGCAATTTCTTGGAGATGACGCCATTGGGGTCGCGCTTTCTGACGGCCTCGTAAAGTTGATCGCGATTCAAAGGAGCCTTGGAGCAAGAGCCGCTTTCAAGATGATGAACCAAGCTGGTCGCCGTTTCGTGCCCAGTTTTGCAGAAAATGCACGGATGGAGCTGAGGTGCTACTCAATAGTCAGTCATAAAAAGCGGCAGAAATACAGTAAACTAAGGTCCTACTTGGTTAATACTTTTCCAGTTTTGGAAATCGCGATCACAGCGGTCGCAGAAGTGCTTCATGACTTCGTGGTCCCGAAGGCTCTCTTCATCATGAAAACTTGCGTCGCAGTCGTCACATTCATAATCTGGCTCGTCCGGTTCAGATACAGCCCAGTGGCCCACATCGGTCATATGTTGACTAACAGCATGCTGACTACCAAAATACTCTGAACAGAAGTGTGCGCTGGCAGACAGATCGACAACCCCGACGCCTACCGTGGCAGCAGTCGAAGCAATCGGAAAAGGAAGCCAAACAAAGAAAAAGAAAAGGAAAAAAAAGGGCAGTCCCGTTTAGATCTCAGTCCATGACCGCTGTTATTATACCTGTATGGTTAAGACTTTGCACCTTTTATGACTCTGGATGATTGTACTCGCCGGATGAGCAGCTTGAACATGAATGGATTTGAACAAGATTGTTAAGAAGGC